TAACATGTTCAGCGCCGACTTCAATTTGAAGTGAAATTATTTGAATTCTTTGTGGATTATCTCTCTTCACAACCTTGGCTGCTATCGGTGATCAGTCTGTATTGATCGTTCTAATGACCTGGAATTTAATATTTGGTCATGTGACTTCTTCGTTATAAGTTGATAATATTCCTGTCAGTAACAGACTCGTCTGAGAAGTAGCATACTTCTAGGAATTGCCTGACACTTTCCAATTCATACTAGTGCTAATGGCTGTCAGCATGCACTGATTTGAAGGAATGGAAAGATACGAAGCTGACGAGAACATTTTCTTTGAACAATTAACAATGATTTTTAACAGTCGCTTCATTTTATCTAGTAGAGGATGTTCGTTTTTTCTTCATCAGGCCTTTCGTCATTTCGTTGATATTATTGTTATTGTCTCTTTTAATTCCTAGAGGAACATAGGGCTTCAGCCGCACGTCTTTATTGCGTTCGGTTCTCTGCCAACTTTTTCACCTGGCTCCACGTCTACCCTCTGGTTTACGGACAACATCTACTGCACAAAATTTAAACAGGCTGGGGCGTTTCCTTCAGTATGCGTTGACAGTTCAGTGGTAGAACACTGATGAACCAAACAGGAGGTATGTAGTTCGATTCTTTGTCGACGCATTCATCATTCCGCTAAGCCAGTAGTAATTCAGGTAGAGAGAGAAGGTTGGGGTGGAGTAAGCAACCTAATCTCATAAAACAACACCAATGCTAATTAAATTTCAAAGCTCTAGTTTGAGACCTTATGTTCTGTTGAGAAAGCAAAGGAATAAAATTCTAAAAATAGATGAACAGTTTTCTGGTGATTTCACAAATGTTCATATTATAGAGTAAGATGATTTTCTATGTGCATTCATTGCATGAACAGCAGAGTCGTTACCATGATAATAAAAGTGGAGGAAAAATTGTCTTTTGTATACATACTTCCGGTTTCCTTATCTGCATGCAGATGACGAGGTTACTGATGAGAGAATTTTCTTCGTTTGCTAAACAGTCTTTTGAAATTTATAATAAGCATCTTTATTAAATTCAGATAACGTTTTAAAAGATGAGATGTATTTGTACCGTACATTTCAGACAGTCTCATCACATATTCACTCGTGAATTCAATTTTTATAAGAATGAAAAGTTAAATTAAGGTCAGTTTAGATCAACACTATCATAGGGTATTCATTAGTGAACAGAAAATATTGTTTTCGATAACTTTACTATCAGGCTCTACAATGTCCACGAACCACCTGGAACAAATAGGCCATAAAGCCACCATTTAAGAATCTTTTTGTGTCATTTATCAGGTACCAAATAAATTGCCACAGAGCGTATAGGTAATGTATACTCCAAACAGTAGAGGCCATCGCGATTCGCCGTGATCAACCGGAGCTCTGCATGAAGTGCAAAAGAAACAGGTTCAGCCCCCTATAAATTCATGAATTCTTTGTTGCTTCCCTTGATTTATCTGATATCGAGTTTAGTGTTACATTAACGCGAATTATCGCTCTCTTTATTGATGCTTTTGAAATGTACTCTCTCGATTCTACTAATTCAGTGTAATTTAATACAGGATTAATGTTGTTAATAACAATATTTCTTCAATAAGCTGATGACGATTTTATTGGAAAGATTATACCTTATTCATTGATCACTCTCTTAAATTTATAATTTGGAATCTTCAATCATTTTAAGTAAGAGCAAGTACATCAGTCAGGAATAGAACATGGACATCCTGCCGTAGTAAATAAGATCCTACAACCTTGATTTCTACCTCGATCCACATCAGTACCTTGAAACGTAAACTTTCTGTCTTTTCAGTGAATTCATTTCCCTCTTTAGCTGTACAATCACATCCATATACAATATATTTATGAAACAGGCTAGTAATAAAAGTGATGAGTTATTGTGATCATAATTGGTAATATTAGTCAGAACATAAGAGAAGTTGAATGAGTATGTTAAAGTTACGCCTTGAGATGGATTGTAATCAGGATGCACATAGAAACGAGTAAAAATGTGGAATAGCGTCACAGTTCGAAAGAAACTCAACAGTTATGCAGAGTTAAAAACCAGACAGACAAAATCAAGAGCGAGGAGAATATGCTCTATACGGAAATTAGAGGAAGAATTTGAGTTTCTTGAGAAGATACTGAAGAGCAATGGGTACCCTAAAAGGTTCATCAACAAGTATGGAAGATCTGAAGTCACAAATGTAAAACAAATCACATTAGGAAAAAGCCCAATCTACTTTCAGCTTGATTATTAGGGTGAAAACATTTCAGCGATGATCAACAGAAGGCTGAGCACATCACTAGCCATAGCCTATCCTGCAGCTAAGCTCGTTCCCGTCTTTCAAACAACTTGCTCTTTGATGCAATCAAAAAACGATAGATATCCTTCTCATGTTAACTCCAACTGTATATACAAATTTACATGTACCTGTGGGAGCAGTTACATTGGAAGAACAGAAAGAAGGGTATATCTACGATTTTCTGAACATATACCAAACAGCTTACGTCTAAAGGGAACAAATGCTTTAGGCAGTGCCATCGCCAGGCATCTTCTTGACACGGGTCATGAGGTGGACGTCAAAAAGTCGTTCAAAATTATCAATAAGAAAAAGGGATCAATTCTCCTTAAGTTTGCTGAAGCCATTTCCATCAAGCACCTGAAACCTTACTTATGCGTTCAGAAAGAAGCGGTTATCAGTCTTTCTTTGCCCTGGTAACTGGATATTTTTCATCCGAATGTGAGATGCTGAAAAGTTTTCGTTGTGTATAATTATTATTGTTCGGAATTGTGTTTAATATAGCATATATATGTATATATTATTAGTGTATGCGTATATTAATCGATTGATTTTTGTTTAAAATGAACTCTGTGCAAGTATGTTAAAATTGTTTTTGTAGATACATTTAATAATGTCTTTTCCCTGTAAGCAGCTGACGAGAAGGCAACGAAATAAAAGATGGTACCATTTTATTCTGCAAAAACTTTAGTTGTTGCTTTGTTCAAATTCATTAAGGGGAATAAATGTATGAAAAATCAAGTCAGTAGGAAACAACAAGCTTCCTACCGTGAATGTAGATGCGGTTGATTATTTCTCGCTTCTGCTTGGAGCTCTGGTTTCTCTAACTCAATAGCTAAAGCATCAGCAGTGTAAGAGGGATGAAAGTGTATTGCCTTTGCCAGATTGTTTTTCACCTTATAGACCACTTTGGAGTAGGCGCTTGTTGAAACGGAATGACCAGTGTTTACAAGGTGTTCAATTATCAGAATCCTCATAGAGCCACTAATAACTTTCTGCAACCATGTGGGATAGTGTTCTTGAATCCTTTTAGATAGGATACACGTCGAACGATCAAAATGCTTGGCTCCACAACGACAGATGAACTGATATATGCACATAGAAGTAGTCGAATGCGAGGCTTCTGCAGATCAACGAACGACTAGAGAACATTACTCTTAGCGTTGTTGCGAAGAATGTCCTTCTCAAAGTTGAGAAAATACTCCACTTAAGGATATCACAATATCCTTCAAGAACATTATGCTACATGATTACAGAAAGCCAAGAATGTCTCTGCGATGAGTGTGATAATCGAACACCTTGTCAAACTTATCATTTCACTTCAAAAACGCCTCCTTCTAAGTAATCTACAAAGTGAAAAATAACCTGACAAAGACAAAAACCCTTCGTTTATCTACACTGTTGAAGCATTAGCTCTTCAGGTGGAGAAACCGGAGCTATACATTTAAACAGGAATTATTCAACCAATTCTACTATCATGGCATCAGCTTTGTTGATTTCTACGACCTCCACGTTTGTTTGTTCGTTTTTCTGACTCCTTATAACTCTTGTGTCGCTTTAGAATTCTCACATAATTCCGTATTCTCTTACTTTTCTATTTGCATTCCCATTTCAACTTGTTCATTGAATTCTTCATCTTATTACAGAACTCTAGTGCACTCATTCAACTGCTCTTATGAATTGACTAGTATTAACAACTATGTTTGTGACAACTTATCACTTTTGTTGCTACCCTCTTCCATGAAGAAATTGCAGGTAAAGGCGAATGTACAGCTAGAGAAGAGAATGAGTTCGCGGACAAGAGCTTCTCCGATAAACTACATGTTGTGTTTTCGTTAATCTCTGAATTAGGATCATTCATGAACTTTTTTTCTTTCCCTTACTTCCTCTCTCTTTTTATTTGACTGCAAATGTTCACCAATTTTAATGCCACGATAGCCACGTTTAAAAGCATTTCCCCAAGATTATATGTATATTCATACCATGTTTATACATTCTACTATTGACCTGAAAACTATTTTTTAATTATTGTTCAAAATTATAATCGAATTTCTTAATTAATTTTTCAAACTTTTATGCTATTTTGCAATTAATTACCACCCTATGGCGTATTTGTGGTTCTTTTTTAATCGTATTATTTTATATACTTATATGTCGGTGGTTCTGTCAACCACAAGGGAGAATCATGTACGATCGCTAGCCAGTGCCCTCTTAAAGCCGACTTAGTATGTTAGTCATCATTGAGTAAAGAAAAGAGGGAAGGTTGGACTTCTTAAGGCTAGCCACTGGACTCCCTATAAACTTCCTGTCAGTCACCTTGTGGTATACAGCACAAATATCGTACAAACTTTAAAGGAATGAAATGCTGAAATAGCTAGCCTTTGAAATCTCGACCTCTTTGAAAGGCTGTGCAAACCACTGGGAATTTCATCCTACAGATTATGATTTCACAAAAAGAGACATCCAGATATTACATCCTGGGACTGTGCAATCAATTCATTAACAGCACTGCATTCTTGACCAGCTACTTGTGTTACAAACGAAGTTACTTTTGGCGAAGAAACAACTAGTGGAAAAGCGCCAACCAATTTCAAGGCTTCTAAAAGATGTGTTTTCAACAATTCATTATGTTTCGAACCAAAATTTCCCAGTTGTTGCTGGTAAATTTTTGTCAGTTCAAACAGTGTCCCAATCGGCTGAGAATTTCAAATATTTTTACAAGATAACCTGAATTACTCTTCAGTGCCTCGGATATTTCTCTGTCACTGCCATTCTTCATGTTATTAATGTTGTTAGAGTCTGACAGTTTAGAAGGTATATCAGTAATGCTGTTAATAGAGTTAGTTTCATCGAAGAATTCTGTACAACCGGGATTGTCATCTGCATCTGGTGATACATTTTTTGATGATGTTGAGAGTTTAACCTTAACATTGCCAAATTCTGTGGTAGGAGTTGGATGAGGAGAAGACAGAGGACTACTAAGTTCATGATTGAAAAAAATTGCTTGATTCTGTTTATAGGATTCCTTTGTGGATGACAGATTGTCAGAAGCACAACTTTCAAGAGTATTCCGATGAGGAATTTCACACACTTTTCTTTTTGGAGAAGGTGACTTTGTACGCAGAGGGCAAGTGGGTGCACAGAATTCAAGGGACATAACATGATTTTGAACACGTTGAAGTTTAGATGGGGGTGATAACGAAATAGAAGAATAACCAGATGAAAGACTCTGAGTGCCTATACGTTTCCGCCTAAGCGGTTGTGGTGAATTAACACTCTTTTCAGTATCAGTTGTTTGACATACACTCATCTTGTGATGAGAGCTGGCTGCAAACAAGCTAAAATTGTAAACAGCAGTTTACGTCAATGTTACGTCCCGAATTGGGGTCATAAGAATAACAACAACAAAGCTTAACCTTGTGGAACTCAACAACCAATCACAGCAGACTTAACGTGTGCAAATAGGATTCGCAGATATATGGCTTAATTTTATGAGAAACCATCACAAGCAGTGCAAAATAAACTTCAGTAAGAAAACGACCAATCAGAAGACGTTGCCTCTCAGCTGACAATAATGTACATAAAAATCTATAAGTATCTCTTGATTTTCTCAATAAACAATCTGTTGCCTAGTCTTTATCTTTTGTCATTACAATCTGTCGAATACGCTTCTGATTATTCGCATGTTTTCCAGCTGACAAAACATGAACACCTGGACAAGTGAACGGAACCACTTTCATAGGTACATCTTCCAGAGTAAATTTCTGGTTTGAACACCTTTATGGGGCTGAAAATACACTAAAATGTATACTTGGAATAAATGAGACTCATTAATTCAAGCTTGTAAATTTATCGGTGTGTATTTTCACTGTTAAGTTCCCTGACTACATTGGCATATCGGTGCCTGTCACGAACGCCTCAAGGACACCCTTTGACTGACTGGATGTCATTTTATTTGATAATGGATTGGGAAGGGGTGCAGGATAAGTGATCGTTGGCAGTTGATGCACCTATACCCCGATGGGTAATAATATTCCCAGAAAGACTTCAACCCAGCGACCAGTATTCACAAATACCTAAACATCTTAATTCATAAGTTTCCGCGAAGGTTGTTCTACAGACGACTGTCGTGGTTCAATAGCCTAGTTTATAATGCTTTCCAATTTGAAGTGAATTGTGTTAAATTTTAGCCTCCGAGGAAAATACCTCTACTAACTGGGATGCAGATACATATGCAGCTGTTGTGTGCTTGATAGGAAAAAACATTCTGACTAAATTACACTGATAGCCACCACGGACCAAATAATATATAATATATAAGGTTCAAAAAGCTTCATATTAATCCGATCATCAACCAATCACCTAAACTCTTTCCTTCAAGGTCGTTGTGTAGGCGTTTCCTTCTGTACCATTGAATGATTTATACATGTAAATATGAATGCTTCAGATCTTATACATAAAAACTGAAAAGCGATTCTTTAGAAGCTGTAATTGATTTTTTATTATTCAAAAAATCATTTGCACAATCATTTTTTTAATACTGTTCATTGAAATAGGAGCGTAGGTCAACATTTGCTTGCTTTAATGATCACAAGATGAGAGTGTAATTCTTATCAACTGATTATGCAACACTTGTGTCTAGCCTTCAATTGATTAAAAACAATAATGTAGAACTATTATTTTTCTTTTTCTCTGAAAAAGACACCTGGGCTGCGGCACATCTGTGTTTCATTGACAGAATAAAAGTAGAACTGATTATAATCTATTTGGCCAATGAAAAAAGCTACTCAAGGACAAAACGAAGGTCATTGATTGGCCAGTTAAATCTAGTTAATATGGTTGTACATTGTCAGAGTTACTTGCTTTGATTACTTATGGATAAAAGTTGAAATAAATAGATTTTACTGCATTTATGAAAACTTCAATTTTTAAAATTTTACCGTTGAGTATGAATACCAAGGGAAGTCACTTCTTTTACCTACCTAGACAGCGTTGTTTCAACTAAATGTGGTAGAGAGGAGCATGTCAAGACAGACCAGGATCTGAATAATATGGCGAATCTCCATCATTCTGAAATCAGTGCGGAAATCTACTTCACTTAGGATAAGAAACAAGATTGAAATTTCCAAAACTAATGTCAAGTCAGTTCTCCTATATAGTTCAGACACTTGGTGCATGCGTCACAAAAAGAGTTTTGAATAGGCTAATACTGACTTTTGTCAACAGCTGCCTTCGTTCCATCCATGTTGAAGATGAGACAGCCAGTCAGTAAGGATATGCAAGAAGGAATTCTAGAAGCGAGTTAACTAAGAATCTATCACCCGGCAAGTATGCAGAAGGAAACAGAGATGGATTGGATATACACTGAGGAACCCCCTGATTGACATCGAGCACAGGGCAAGCTCTCGAGTGGAATTTTGATGGAAAACGATGAAAATCGACGAGTCAGGTGTCTGAGAGTGATATGGAGGAGATCTTGTGAGGGAAAGATCAAAGGTTGCAGACAATCATGAGGCCGGATAAAAGAGGCTACGGAGAACAGGGTGTAATGAAGATGTGCTTCTAAAGGGAATAATAATATCTTATATGATGACAATAAATCCTACTGAAAGCTTGTAAAGCATTTCGAAGATTTATTCATTTTGTGTGTGTGTGTGTGTAGGCTCGCAGTATCGTTCATTTCGCAAGATCCTAATGGCAGAGTTTCAGAAAGAGGTGGAATACAAATAACTGTTAATTAATTCTCACTGAGAATTTAACATTCAATTTCCCACTCGGAAACCAAAAGCAATAATAATAAATACATATCATCCTGCTACTGAACATCCATACACTTATTTCTATGTCAAATGACAGCTAAGAGATATCATAATATAATCAGTAATCTACAGGTTACCGTTTTGAAGCTACATCCGGAATTAATCCTAATTCCGACAAAACACATAGTTTAAGTACCCATCTCCAGCTCACTAATGGCTAATGAGTGGATATCTTCAAGATGTAGTGAGAAGCTGTGACCGATGAGATTCATCATGTCAAGGAAAAGTAGTTACTTATATCACCGGTGAGTGGTTGAATGGTCATAGAGCCTGATCGCGTAATGTGAAGGTTTCGGGTTCAATTCCTGGTAGTGTCATGGGTGTACACAGCCACAGAGTCTCAAACTGGGACGAAATGGCCATCCAGTGCTACCCGGTTTTTAATGATTTCCCTAAATGGGATATATATGCATGGGTCATTGAACGGGTCCCAGTGGCTGGATGGTCTACGGGGTTGTCTAGTAACTGGAAGGTCTCGGGTTCAAAACACAGTATGTTATGATGATGAGTCCCTGTCCACTACTCCCTGGTTCTCTAACTGATATCAGTCTGTGGTCAAACTCGCACAAAAATCTAATCCTTACAAACCAAACTCTTGAAAATTAATCCGATGCTCACTAATGACTTGCTACAGCACAGATTTTCCTGGAGTTTTAATGAAAAGTCATGACCAGTGAGGTCCATCCAGTCAAGTGTGAGGATCGAGTTCTCACCGATGACACTGGTTGGTGGTCGCGCTAAATCACGAATCGGTAGAAGTTAGAATTCATGGGATGGCCACTGAATCGGGTCACAGTGGCTGAATGGTATAAGAGCTTGCCTTTTAACCGATAGGTCCTGGGTTCGAAACATGATGGTGGGTGCGTACTGCTGATGATTCTCAAACCCGGATGAAACAGATGTTCTCTAATCCTTGGCCTTCAATGGTTCTCTAACTGATATCAATCCGTGTGGTGACTAGAATTATATATATATATATCAGCGAACTCAATCTAACCAGTATCGATTGAAATTTGAGTCTTAGTGATGAGAAATAATCCCTTTTTGTTTGGTATTAAATTTCATCATAAAAAGTGTTGGTTTTTCTTTCGTTTGTTAAAAAAACCAGACAACAACGTTAAATTTTCACCAGACAATCTGAAGGCTTATCAATACGTGTAGGTTGGAAATGACTCTGTGTATGTGTGTGTGTGCATGTGTGTTAATAAGTAGCTGACCTCATATGAAAAGTGCGTATATATTTATGTATACTATAGAATATGCCATCTTAGTGACTCTCAAGCAATCTCTGACAGTAACACAAGAGTAGACTTTCGTTTCCAGTACAATAAGAGACACAGATAGTCTTGCCAGCTGAAAGAAACAGACTGAATTATTTGATGTGATATGGAAATGTTTCTGTTGAACAATACTGCGTCAGTGTGATCAAATTTTCAATTGATTTGAAGGTCAACTTGTCTAGACAACAATTTTTATGATGAGTAAAGAAGAAATTTGTTTCCACAGAAAAAAAAATGACAGAGAAAAAGACAAACCCAGTATGGCTGAGTATTGTCCAGAAATAATCTCATTTATTGACAGATCAATGGGAAAGAGTTAGTCGCCTGTAGAAAAAGTATATATATATATTATTTAGGCTGATGGTATCTGATATGTCGTTAGGCTATTCAAGTGGATTGGAGACATTTATATGCACAATATATTCCATTTATACTCTTATATCTTTAAATAGCCTGGTAGCCTAAGGATAGCCTGTTACAATGAATTAAACTCATTGATTGGTCTATTTGGAATGACCCATATCATATTCTTTATGATATAGAATATTCTGAACCAATGAAGAACCTTCCCTACTGAACAAACATTCTGAAGAAAGTGAAGATGGATCGGAAGGATACACGCTGAGGAGACCGTTGGGTGAAATCGCACACCAGGCCATCGCTTGAGTGGAACTCGAATGGGAAACGAAGAGTTGACCATAGGTCCGAAGGTGATGTGGAGCAGGTTGTATGAGGAGGAGTTGAAAGCTTATTGGCAGCCGTGAATTCAGCTGCAGAGGACTGCAGGAGACAGGAAGAAGTGAGGATGTGCTCTTGAAACCCTTTAGGACTCAAGGGAATAATCGTCAGTACATATCATATTGCTTAGTCCTTAATGTTGACAACGACTCGATTCTATCAGTCAAGTTTGCAGTATGGTTACCAAGCTAGTTGTTTGGCCATTGTGTAGCTCTTTGAATTGGGATTAAATAGTTGATGGCAATAGGCAGGAAGCTGAGAACCATAGTTTCATGCATATTGGCTGGCACTCATCGGTGTATCCAACTAACTCCATAACTGGATGACGTAGGTTCTAACCTCCAAGGAAGCCTCATCTTGCTGACCAGCACTAAACTTGGGTTTGGAACTACCTGTCGATAGCTCTCTTCCAGTTAACAGAATTGAATACTTATGAAAGGATCTGGGTCGTTCATCGTGTTTTCAACTTCATA